CTGGGCTTTTGGAGACTCTTTTGACCACATTCTTCTTTTAAAATTTGGACTCTCCGAGGTTTCCTGTCAAAGACTTAATTTTCAGCAAAGTGAGGTTTATACATAAAACATGAATGAGTGTTTGAGACATTTATACTAAGGTTGGGAAGAATTAATTTGAATGATATTTGGCATAAATCTGCTGTTACAGAGGCAGCAAAAGATGGCGCAAAAAGAAAGGAGGATTTTGTTTGACTGCTTCTGAAATTCCATCTGTTTACCTCAGCATTTAAAGAATTATCTGATCCTTAGTTGGTTCTTTATCGTATTTTCAAGGTTTTTATTTACCTCTGCAGTTAGGAACTTGTGATTTTTTGTGGAATATTGAGACACACAGAAAATACTTTGGGTACATACTTGTTTCCCTGAAAGAATCATGATTTTATTATTTTTGTAAAAATGACACAGGTTTTCTTTAATTTAAAAAGAATAAGAGGAAATAAAAATCATTCAGAATACTCTACCCAGAAATAGCCATCATGAATATCTGTCAGACATCACTCTAGACATTTATATATTTCTGTAGTAAGAGAATGAGTGGAATTAAAAATATATAAAATAAAATGTGTCATATGTTACATGAAATTTGATTTTATTTGAATTAACAGAAGAATAAAACTGAAGTGAAACTAAAATAATTGGTGAACTTGATACTTTCTCAAAATAAATTATCAGATTTTTCTAAAGTTAAGAAAAAAGATTATGAAAAACTTTGAAATTGTAGTCATTTTATAAGTATATATATTTTAACTTTTGATAGTATTTTATGACCCCTTACTATGAAAAATGAAGTCGTTAACACTTTGAAAATTTCTCCCTCAACATTTTTTTTTTTTTTTTTTAGGCAGAGTCCTGCTCTGTTGCCCAGGCTGGAGTGCAGTGGAACAATCTGGACTCACTGCAACCTCCACCTCCCAGGTTCAAGCAATTCCACTGCCTCAGCCTCCTGAGTAGCTGGGACTACAGGTACCTGCAACCATGCCTGGCTAATTTTTGTATTTTTAGTAGACACTGGGTTTCAGCATGTTGGCAAGGCTGGTTTCAAACTCCTGACCTCAGGTGATCTGCCCACCTCAGCCTCCCAAAGTTCTGGGATTACAGACGTGAGCCACCGTGCCTGGCCTCAACTTTCATATTTGGTTCTGTACCCATACCCAAGATTGCTTAATGTAATTCTGTATCTAACAGAATACCAACTCAACCTAGCCTCCTAATCATGGCTTGTTTCCGCTTCCTTTTCACTTTCCTTTGGTTGGATGAATTTCATTTCCAACTTACATCTTGACTGCATGCTGGAGAATGTATGGTTCAGATAGCCAAGAGAGAAATTCACATTTAAAGTCACACGGGAATTCTGATATCACGTCCTCTCTGTTCTTGACTTGGGTCTCAGATAGGCCAGAGATTTTTACCAGTTGAACCACACTGTGGCCCCTAACCAGCACTGAGACATTTGACAAACTGCAGGACTCCTGGTCACTTCCTCCTCACCTTCCTGTACCTATTTCTCCCCAAACCCATCTGTGAAAGCTCCTTAAACCAATTACCCTTTTCACATTTTTTTTTCTGAGATGCAGTCTCACTGTCACCCAAGCTGGAGTACAGCAGTGCAATCTCAGCTCACTGCAACCTCTGCCTCCCAGGTTCAAGTAATTCTTGTTCCTCAGCTTCCTGAGTAGCCAGGATTACAGGTGGACACCACCACGCCCAGCCAATTTTTGTATTTTTTTTTTTTTTTTGAGACAGAGTCTCACTCTGTCACCAGGCGCCAGGCTGGAGTGCAGTGGCACGATCTCAGCTCACTGCAACCTCCGCCTCCCAGGTTCAAGCAATTCTCCTGCCTCAGCCTCCCGAGTAGCTGGGACTACAGGCACACGCCACCACACCCAGCTAATTTTTGTGTTTTTAGTAGAGACAGTTTTTCACCATGTTGTCCAGGCTGGTCTCGAACTCCTTACCTCAGGTGATCCAGCCACCTCAGCCTCCCAAAATGCTGTGATTACAGGCATGAGCCATCGTGCCTGTCCCCTTTTCACATTGAAAGTTACAGTCACAGTTTTATGTTACCAGCTCCTCCCCACTGGCTTTAGGGCAGGTCATAAGTAGCTTGTTGAGGTTACTTCCAAAGGTGCTTAAGAACCTATTATATCTTACAATTGGAACCCAGCGTGGGGCATGAGTGACTTTTTTTCTTATTAGCTTGTAAGGGCTTTTTCCCGTGACAATTTGGACTGTCAAAAATCTGACAGGGCCCACTGGCTCACACCTGTCATCCCAGCACTTTGGGAGGCCGAGGCTGGCAGATCACCTGAGGTCAGGAGTTTGAGACCAGCCTGGCCAGCATGGTGAAATCCCATCTCTACTAAAAATATAAAAATGAGCCGGGCATGTGGTGGGCACTTGTAATCTCAGCTACTCGGGAGGGTGAGGCAGGAGAATTGCTTGAACCAGAGAGACAGAGGTTGCAGTGAGCTGACACGGTGCTACTGCACTCCAGACAGGGTGACAGAGTGAGACTCTGCCTCAAAATTTTAAAAAATCAAGGTAGTAGAAGAGAAAGATAAAAAACGAGTATGAAAAATAGTTGAAGTCAGAATTGGATATCAGTAACTCTAAATTTTATGGTTCTCTATGAAACTGTAATTCATACATCCCAAAATCTCTTTCTTTTCTCTTCTATTTATTTATTTATTTATTTATTTATTTATTTTGAGATGGAGTCTCACTCTGTCACCCATGCTGGAATGCAGTGGTGCGATCTCAGATCACTGCTGCCTCAACCTCCTGGGAAGTGCAAGTGATCCTCCCACCTCAGCCTCCTGAGTAGCTGGGGCCACAGGTGCGCACCACCATGCCTGGCTATTTTTTTATTTTATGTAAAGATGGCATCTCCCTACATTGCCCAGGCTGGTTTTTGAACTCCTGGGCTCCAGTGAGCCACCTGTCTTTGCCTCCAAAAGTGCTGGCTGGGATTACAGGCATGAGCCACTGCCCCAGCCCCAAATTTTCTTATTCCCAATTTTAATTACTCTCTGTTCATTAGGATAATAAGGTTTTTTTTTTAATGTGGTCTCTTTATGTGCCAGTGAGGGAATCAAGTGAGGAGTTATCATCCAAGGATCACTTGTCCTTTGTCACAATGTTGAAGTCCTACAGTCAGTCTTGACTGGAAATTCTTCTGAGGCTCCATGAATGTCCCTGCAGCACTCTCCTGATTTACTCACCTGCTGCCCTGAGTTCTCCTTTACTAACCCTCAACAACATCTGCCCTTCTGAAGCAGATTCCTTGAACCTAGAATGACAGGGAGAACTCGATGTAGTCTAAGCAGAAAGGCTGAAATGTACATTATTTTTTTTCAATAAGAAAAATAAGGAATCTCTCTCCTGGGGAGGAATTATAAAGCAAGATCTCTCACAGGCCTTCAGTTTCCCTGTCCTTATTGATATGTAAGCTAATTTTAGGTGGATATGCTGGTTTTTAACATTTTAATAGTCATGCTTTTGTTTAATGTATATGAGAAATATATATCTAGAAAAGTAGAAATGATATAAAGTTTCATTTTAAGGTAAGCAAAAAGTGAACCAGTAATCCCAGCACTTTGGGAGGCTAAGGTGGATGGATAAGATCAGGAGATCAATACCATCCTGGCCAACATGGTGAAACCCCATCTCTACTGAAAATACAAAAATTAGCTGGGCATGGTGGCACATGCCTGTAGTCCCAGCTACTCAGGAGGCTGAGACAGGAGAATCGCTTGATCCCAGGAGGCAGAGTTTGCAGGGAGCCAAGATCACACCACTGCACTGCAGCCTGGGACAGAGTGAGACTTATTTAAAAAAAAAAAAATGCATAGTAAAACATAGTATATGGATAATATGCAGGTATGGGAAAGAATTATGAGGATGATATACAAATGACTAAAGTTTTAGAAACATGAGAATTGTAGAAATCAGAAATACATAGATATGACTAAAATTGCACAGATGTGCAATAGGAGAACCAGGAAATAGGCAAATTAAAAATCTGAAACCTATTTAAATTATGCTTGTTACAAACTTGGATTTTTCCCTATTAAAATCTGTAGTCTGATATAATAGTGCATATCTGTAGTCCCAGCTACTTGGGATGCTACGGTGGGGGGATCACTCGAGCTCAGGAGTTAGCAGCCAGCCTGAACAACACAGTGAGACCCTGTCTTTAAAAAAAAATCTGCAATGCAATGGTTCTGTTATCCACCATTACATACATGAGAAGCTTCATATGTACCATGCATTCTCATGGAAATACATGATTCCTGTGCTTTTCTGTAACGCCACCTCTTTCTCTACCACTCCAGAGGATACATTGGAAGGCAAGCAAATGAAAAATGTTATAATAGGAAGCATTATTCCAGCTGAGCACAGTGGCTCAACGCTGTAATCCCAGCACTTTGGGAGGCCAAGGCAGGTGGATCACTTGAGGTCAGGAATTTGAGATCAGCCTGGCCAACATAGTGAAACCCTATCTCTTCTAAAAATACGAAAATTACCTGGGCGTGGTGGCACATGCCTGTAATCCCAGCTATTCAGGAAGCTGAGGCAGGAGAATCATTTGAACCCAGGAGGCAGAGGTTGCAGTGAGCCAAGATCGTGCCACTGTCTCCAGCCTGGGCAACTGAGACTGTCTTAAAAGAAGAAGAAGAAGACGCATTATTACTACATGAATTCATTTTTGCAGTGTGTAAACTATTTACAAATAGGTACTTTAACTCTTAATAACAGTCTCAGCACACCCCATGACTGATCGCCACCTTATTGCACTTGTCACGGCATAAGCGTGCCTGAGAAACAGTGGTCTTACAAACTAGTTTGGGTCTGAGATGTCATGTGTGCAGACCCCTGTTGGGGAATTTGCACGGTAGGGACTGCTTTCCTTGTTGCCTCTGACCTAATAATGTCCTCTTTTCTCTGTACACATACAGACTGTTGGGCGGGAACTGCTGCTCCATCTGATCGACCACCTCGTAACCAGTGATGGCAAAGACCCTGAAATCACAAATCTGATCAATAATACCCGGATACACATCATGCCTTCCATGAACCCAGATGGATTTGAAGCTGTCAAAAAGCCTGACTGTTATTACAGCATCGGAAGGTAAAGAGGGGCTGGCCTATCTTTATTTCAAAACGAAACAACACAACACAAAAGCTCCCGCCAGGCACCTGTTGGCCTTGGCAAGAGGAGTGTGTCCTGGTGACAGCCCTCAGAGCCAGTGTCCTGTCACTGACATGCCAAAGCTCAAGGCTCCTCAGGGCTGTGTCCAGCTTTCAGGATGAAATGCGACTCAGGCTACTTTGCACAGGTGCCCACCCAGCCTCTCCATCTTCACTTGCCACTCCCTCGCCCTCCCCTGCCTCCGCCCCTCTGTCCCTCCTTCCTGTCCTGGAACTACCAGTGCTTTCTCACCTCAGTGTTTTACACACACCATTTCCTCCCACTGCCTAAATAGCATTTCCTCCGAGACTCTTTCTCCCCGATCTGTTATGCACTAGATGCCCTGGTAAACTCTCAGACCACCTGGAACTTTACTTTCAGAGCACAACTTTTAATATCTAATTTCTTGCTTCATGTCTGTCTCCCCACTACACTGCAGGCTACCTGAAGGTAGGAATCCTGTCCATTATGTTCATCGTTGTTAGATCCCCAATGCCTGACAGAGTACCGAGGCCCTTGGTAATGACTGGCTGATTTATTAAGCCAATAGTCCAAGAACTAACCATAACCAAGACCAGGTCTTGAAGGAGCTCTGATTTAAACAGTTTAGTTTGTTTAAATTCCAAACCTTTGGAGGTTTAGAATTTCTCAGATGTTTAGTATACATTTATATTTATGCAATTTATAAATCTATGTGCTTTACCAAAGCTGAACAAAATCTCACCACTTCATTCCCTCCAATTTTAAGTTATTCTAGCATATCCAAACATGGCCATTCCACTTTTCACAAATGCATGTGTATAAAGTAATGTGTTTACTGTTTCTGTTATCAGTTGCTACATAACAAACCACCCCAAAATTAGTGAATTAAAGCAACAGCCTTTTTATTTACTATTGATTCTGTAAGTCAGGAATTTGTGCAGGGCAGAGCAGGGATGGCTACTCTCCATGCCACAGGTCTGGGGCTCAGCTCTGGTCTTTCTGAGACAATTGACCTGGAGCCGTGTGTTTGGAGTCTCAGCTCTGGCTGTCACCTGGGCTCCTCGTTTCTCCACATGGACTCTCCACGTGGCTACCATAGGGGTCTCAGAGTCCTAAAAGGGAGAATCTAAGAGCAGAAGTCCCAAAATATAAACACTTATAAAACCTCTGCCTGAATCACAATAGCTAGTGTCTCGTTAGCGAGAGCACGTCATGAGGGAGGGGATGCCATGTGGTGTGAGTGCCAAGTGTGGGTCATGGCAGGACACCAGGGCAGCAATCGCCACACCCACACTCACATTTGGAAAGACACCTGGAGCCTAAAGCATAGGGCCAGATGCTGTAAGAATCCACTCCCTCATGCCCTATCAATAAGCCCTCAAATATTCTTTCTTTTAAAGGGAAAATTACAACCAGTATGACTTGAATCGAAATTTCCCCGATGCTTTTGAATATAATAATGTCTCAAGGCAGCCTGAAACTGAGGCAGTCATGAAGTGGCTGAACACGGAGACATTTGTCCTCTCTGCAAACCTCCACGGTGGTGCCCTTGTGGCCAGTTACCCATTTGATAATGGTGTTCAAGGTAAGCAGGTGCGGGCCCGGTTCTGGCTTCATAAGTCCAGAGTGGGACTGAAAACTCTCTCTCTCTGCATGGGGATGAACTCTCCCTTCCCCACTCAACTTCTCCAACAGGGTGAAAACAGCTTCCTGTTCCCAACCCTAGCCATCCTTCTTGTGATTCTTCAATAGCAGATGGGCAGTGTGGCTGAACTGACAACCCACAGTGGACATGCATCAGTGAAATAATGAAATTTAGATTCTAGAAAATAGGATATAAACAGTCAGATTGATTCTCTGACAAGAGACAACATGGCTAAAATAACATAAAACTGGAACAACTCACGCTTTTTTGCTAATCATGTGAACAATAATTGTTGACTCTTCTTAAAACTCTGTAATATGAGGACCCAAAATATTATAATAACTTTATTTCATCCCTCTGATACCTAAGGAAACTGTCCTTTCCTCCAGAAATTAGCAAGAGTAATTGAGAGAACATTGAATTTTTAAGTTGATTTAGGAGTTTGGATTTGTATCTGACTTACTTGGGGGCCATCACCTTGCATATGTTTATTATAAAGTAGAAAGAAGAATAGAGGAAGCATTCATGGAGGTGGATGGAGGATTTCTCTCTAGGGAAATTGGAGCATCTGTGTGTCATGTGATTATGTATTTGCTAATGTGGTATTTGTGTTTCCTCTTACTCTAAAGTCAGTTTAAAGGTCTTGGCTCATCTTTTAAATGCAGCAACTGGGGCATTATACTCCCGAAGCTTAACTCCTGATGATGATGTTTTTCAATATCTTGCACATACCTATGCTTCAAGAAATCCCAACATGAAGAAAGGAGATGAGTGTAAAAGCAAAATGAACTTTCCGAATGGTGTTACAAATGGCTATTCTTGGTATCCACTCCAAGGTGAGTTTCTCTTCATTTCTCTCATTTCTTCTTTTTTTTTTTTTTTTTTTTTTGTGAGATGGAGTCTCGCTCTGTCACCCATTCACCCTTTGCCTTCACCCAGAAGTGCTGCTGGTTTATTTTGATCCAGCAGTGGTTAAAACAACTTTAGGTACAATAGGCCCTTCATTGTGTCCTTATCAGCTAGTATCATAGGAGTAGTGGAGGTGACTGATGGTTTGAGAGGTGCTCAGACATGTTCCTTATACCAAGGGCCTCCCTCATTCATTCAGATACTTATTCTGCATCTTCCTACTGTGAGCCAGGAACTGTACCAAGAAAGATGAACAAGACACACAGCTCACCCTGGAGTTGAATAGGGGAGACGGACATGCAAATAAGTAATTGTGATAGCAGTGTAATTAGAATAACAACAGATTTAGAAAAGGCTCAGTGTACCCCAAGGGTGTACAAAGCCAGAACACAGTAGGGAGTAGTGAAGACTTTGGAGAAATGTAATGCTGACATGCCATCTAACAGGGACAGCTGCTACTAGATCTAGCTAATTATTGTCATGCAACCATGGGGAACCAATACTGCCAGATCCTGCAGTTTGTAAAAAGAAGCTGGATTTGTACATGAAGTACCATGGTTTTAAAGCCATTTTGCAGGCTCAACAAAGGAGCTCTTCAGACAGGATACAGCGGGAGGAAGGCCCCCAGTTCTCCATCAGAATAAGATGGCCAGGTAGGGGACAGGATGAGATTGCAATGTAGGCAACATGGAAGGAGAGGTATT